GGGACATGCTCAGCAGCAGGGGAAAGAAGCAGAGCTCTGAAACCAGCCAAGTTATATGAAAGCAGATTAAAGCAGCTGGGATAAGCTTATGAAGGGGATACAGGAAGGGGAATTCTGGCTGACCAGTTCGAGGGTGTGATGTGTGCAGTTATGCTTGCTAGCCCCTGGATGCAGAGAAGAATAGAGGTAGTTTGGGTTTTTTGCCCATGCTTCTGGGTTTTGCTGGTTGATACATGAGGTTGTGAAGGGATTTTCCTCCCCCACTTTGCTACAGGTGGGTGGGAGTTGCCTTCAGCATTGTGTGTTGGCTGCAGCCAAGGCAGGGGGGTTTTGACTGGGGTGTGCCAGTGCTCCTGCTAGGACTAAAACCTGGAGATTCCTGCTTAGAGGTTCTTGCCTCTCAGGGTCAGAACAATCACCGTATTTAATTTTGCCCTATGGTCATATTAGTGCAGATTGTGGGTGGCTTTGCCTTCGTGGGGGGAGAAGGGTGTGACCCTCTTCCTTGGCTCTTAAGTGCATTTTAACAACCTCTGAAGCTATAGGACACTGGCAGCCCTTGTCCCCTGGTTTACTTGTGCAGGTAAATATACCCTGTAGCTGTACAACAGGGTTGATTGTATAGTTTTAGGAATAAGTTAGGCAAGGACTTTGGATGGGATGATTTGGATAGGGATGATCCTGCCTCAAGCAGGGAGTTGGACTAGATGACCTCTGGAGGTCCCTTCCACCCTACTTCTCTATAATTCTATGGCGGAGATCAGAGGCAGGAATTCAGGGCTTGGCCAGGCTCGGGTAACAGGGCTGCACAGGCAGAGATGACAGCAAGGACCCTCAGTGCATACCCACAGTTCTGCCATTGCCTCTCACTCCTGAAGCACAACCTGCCAGGCCAGCCCTGAGCTCCCCCCAAGATCTCCCAGTGCTCTCACACCCAACCCAAAGGCCCAGGAGAGCAATAAGGACTCAGCCAAAGCAGGGAGACAGGGCTTGGCAGCAGCCAGAGACACAAGAGGAGCCAGAGACTGCATGGCCTTGAGCCACCAACATATCATCGAGCTTGTCTCCTGAGCCCAGATGCCTGCAGCCCACTGAGCAGTCAAATTCCCTGGCACAAGGCCAGTGAAGCAGCCCTTCTGGGCTGGGTACAGGCCCTTAGCTCTCATGGGGAGTACTGTTCTGCTGCAGATCCAGCTCAGAGCTTGTTAGAAGGGGACAAAAAGTCTGTTCTCCACTATGGCCCAGGCTAGAGTACCTTGCCCAGAAGTGCCTGCTCCCAACTGAACAAGAGCACAGCTGCCCCAAGGGAAGAGAAGGCCTGGAGTGAGTCCTGGGGTGGGGATCCCTGCAGGGATCTGCTGCTCCTTGGGTAGCAGCTATTAGCCACTTTTTAAGCCTATCTGGATAGTTTCCATCAGGATGCGGCAGATGTGGCGCTGACTCAGCCCTGTTCATTTTTTAGTGTTGTGGTATCACAGAGCATGTTCTGCCTCTGCTCCCTACAGCACTTCTAGAAACACAAGAGGGCATCTCATACATAACCCGCCCTAGCCTGAGCTGGAGTCAGTCACCCTTGGGCTGTGCCAGAGGGAAGCTTGTCTAACCGGCTCTTCCCCACCCAGTAATGGGGACTCTGCAGCCTTCTTGCTCCAGGGCTGAAATGTCCTCAGGCTTGGCAAGCTTCCCTGACATCTATTTAATAAATATTTCCTGGTGAAAAATAAACCATTTGGGACAGGATCCTGTGTCACTTGGGCTACGGACAGACATTACACATAAACCGGTTTAAGTGATCAGAAACTGGTTTAAACCTGTAACAGAACAGATGTTCAGTGCATATAAACCAGTTTGAAAATGGCTGAAACCAGTTTGAGATAAACCTGGTTGAATGTAGTATCAGACTTAACTGATTTGGGTCAAACTGCTTTATGCAATGTCTGTCCCAGACCCCTTGCTGGTTTAAGATAAACCAGACACCCGCAGCATCTCGGCATGCTCTCTGGGCTGGGCAGGGCTCTCTGCTCCACAGCAGAGCTGGCCCCTCTCCTCTGCTTCCTGGCTGCAGCTCTGGCAGAGACTAGCAGGCTGCTCCCCCCCAGCTCCCCACTCCCTGCTAAGCAGGAATTCCCCACTCCACCCTGCCTTGATGAGAGGTATCTGTGTATTAGCCAACAGACCACATGCTGGCTCCCATCCATCCATGCTGTGACAAAGGCAGAATCAACAGGTAGCTGGTAATGTTTCATAGTTCCATAGTTGGTAGGGTCCGAAGGGACCTGAGCAGATCATCAAGTCCGACCCCCTGCCATGGCAGGAAAGAGTACTGGGGTCAAACGAGCCCGGTGAGGTGTTCATCCAGCCTCCTCTTAAAGACCCCCAGGGTAGGAGCCAGCACCACTTCTCTTGGAAGTTGGTTCCAGATCCTAGCCGCCCTGACAGTGAAGTAGCACCTCCTGATATCTAGCCTAAATCTACCCTCTGCCAGCTTGTGACCATTATTTCTTGTCACTCCTGGTAGTGCTCAGGAGAACAGGGACTCCCCCAATGCCTGCTGGTCCCCCCTGACTAGTTTGTAAACGGCCACTAGAGCCTCCCTCAGCCTTCTCTTGTGGAGGCTGAACAGGTTCAGGTCCCTCAGCCTCTCCTTGTAGGGCCTACCCTGCTGACTCCTGACCATGCGGGTGGCCCTCCTCTGGACCCTCTCATGTTGTCCACATCCCTCCTGAAGTGTGGCGCCCAGAACTGGACGCAGTACTCCAACTGCGGGCCGACCAGTGTCGCATAGAGGGGGAGGATCACCTCCTTGGACCTGCTTGAGATGCATCTGTGGATACATGACAAGGTGCGGTTGGCCTTCCTGACCACTTCCCCACACTGTCGGCCCATGTTCATTTTGGCATCAATAATGACTCTAAGATCCTTCTCTGCCTCTGTACTGATGAGAAGGGAGTTCCCCAGCCTGTAGGTATGCTGCTGGTTTTTCCTCCCCAGGTGCAGCACCTTACACTTGTCAGTGTTGAAACCCATCCTGTTCTCATTCGCCCACCCCTGTAACCTGTCTAGGTCCGATTGCAGCCTATTCCTCCCTTCTAGCATACCCACTTCTCCCCACATCTTAGTGTCGTCTGCGAATTTGAACAGGGTGCTTTTTACACCCTCGTCCAAGTCGCTGATGAAGATGTTGAACAGTGTGGGCCCGAGGACCGAGCCCTGCAGAACCCCACTGCCCACATCCCTCCAGGTCAAAAATGACCCATCCACCACCACTATCTGGGTGCAGCCCTCTAGCCAACTAGTGACCCATTTGACTGTGTAGGTGTCGACGCCACAGTCTCCTAGTTTTTTTTAATGAGAATGGGGTGAGAGACAGTGTCGAAGGCTTTCCTAAAGTCCAGAAAGACTACGTCCACTGCTACACCTGTGTCTAAGGCTTTTGTGACCTGGTCATAGAAGGCCACCAGGTTGGTCTGGCAGGACCTGCCTCTAATGAACCCATGTCCCTCTGCTGTCTTCTTAATGGGGTAATAAACACTGAGTTAGGGGTGATAAACACTGTTATCAATTCCCTGCTGGGCTAATCAGAGTGTTGTGCTGGGGCCTGGCCATGTCCTACACCCCTCACCCCCAGCTCAGTATTGTGGAAGGGCAGGGCTGCTCTAGCACCACCCCCACCCCCACCCCAGCTTCTAGCCTGAGCCACTGCAGGCATGTGCCTGCATTTCTGGAATAAAAAGGAAATGTCTATCCACCTCCAAATTGATTCAAACTTTGCAGGTTAGACTAACCTGCAAAGGTTAAATTAATTCAGGATCAGGCTTTTTGAAAGTTTATCCCTAGCCTTGAGGAGCTCAAATAACTGTTTTCTACCTGCATAACTGCTGGCTTTGGCAATGCTCCTGATTCATGTGCTCTGCAGCCATTATGCACTGAACAGGGACAGTAGGCTGCTCTTGGGCTGGGCAGGAGTACAGCTCTGCACATGCGTAGTTGTGTAAGCACTAGCCCTGACCATGACTAGTTGGGTCTTAGACAAAGGAAGACTTGTCCATTTTTTCCTAACAGCCTTGTGCTTAAAGCACTTAGGAAGTAGAAAATCTGTTCTAGGCATCCCTACCTTGCTTAGAAAGGGTTTAACCTGTATCTCTCCTGCGTAAGTAGCATAGGCACCAACTTTTATTTTTTGCTGGGGGGCCTAAGATGATGCCCCCACCAGGGGCATGGCCAGATCAGAGCCAAGCAAAGGCCAGGGTGGGGGGAGCAGGGGTGGGAGAAGTGTGGATACGGGCTGCCTGCTGCAGGCTTGGGGTCCCTGCCCTGCTCCCCTCCGCCTGTGAGCTCCTCACCAGCCACACTGCCATGGCAAGGTGCCCCCTGCCTGCCTGGCATCAGCAGGGGGCACAACTTTGCACCGCTGCCCTGATGCTGCTGGGCAGGCAGAGGGCACTTTGCCATGGCAGCACAGCTGGCGCAGGGCTCCCAGGGGGAAGACAGCAGGGTACGGAGCCCCAAAGCCCACAGTGGGCAGCCTGCATCCACCCCCACCAACATGACAAATCTCGGAGGTGTCCACCTAGTGGGGCGTGCACCACAGAAGCAACCCTCTATGGCTCTGTTATCCCACCAGTTGTTCAGCTGCCTTAGGACATTTTCATCTGAACCTTGTTTCCCTCATTGGCAAATGCCAGATCAGGCAGCATCAAACACCTTGCTGAAATCAAGATATATGGCACCAACAGTCACAGTCACAGTCACCGCCACCTCCTCCTCCTCCTGCACCCACCTTGCTGCCCTGCCAACAGAGGAAATTAGCTTGGCTTCTTCTCTGACAAACCCATGTAGCCTTTTCTTCCGCTTAATCTCTGAGGTGCTAATAGGTCCATGTTTTGACCTGTTCCAGGAAGTCAGGAAGACTTTTCTATAATCCTCCAGGCCCTCTGCCTTCCCCTTTTCACATATAAATGCTCTGTTTGCTTTTCTCAAATCCTTAAAACCAGTCCTACCTTACATAAGGTTGGAAAGATAACTGTCAATTGTTCAGAGGCCTTTCCAGCTGTGGGGTGAGGGAAAGTAAATTCCACCAGGACTCCACCTCATTAGCTCCTGTTCTTTAACTTGTTCTTTCCTTATCCTTTGTTGCAGTGAATGGAGGCAAGTATCCAGTCACAATTAACCTTTTAATGAAGGCAAGGCACAATAACTTTCTTCTACCCTCCTCTGAGTCATCACTTTCTGCCCAGCAAGTGATGCCCCTGCCCTTTCTCTGTTCTCCCTCTCACATCTGATGTATTTATAGAGCTGTCTCTTGCTGCATTTTGCCTCCCTATCTCCTATCTCACTGTGACTCATTTTGTGTCCCAGCTTTTTTTTTTTTCAAATTCCCATTCCTCTATGTACTCACTGCTCCTTCAAACTCTGTTCTGCTCACCACATTCATGATTTTCCTGCCCTTAAAGAAGCCCTAGTGATGCTACCCCAGGCCTGCCTTCTACATTCTGCCTCTCCCCCAACCATGCATCTACGAAGGTTGCTGCTGTGCCTTTAATCATGTCTTCTGGGAAGGACAGTTCATTTGTCATGGGTGTGCACATGGCTTGCTTGGCCTTGGCAGCTCCATGTCTCACCAGCAAGTCCAAAGCAGGGGCTTTGGCCTGATCAGTACCCAGGCAGCATTTGGAGCAGCACCTGACAGTCTTTGCAAAATGAGCCAGCAATGGTGAGTCAGCCAGACTAATAACCAGGGTGAGGTTGTGCAGAGCCCCAGAAACTCACCAACCTGCTGATGCAAAGCAATTTTATTCCCCTTTGATCTGCATGTAACTATGCCAGGCCCTGAGATCTGATATAGAATTTGTTCTTGTTGGCTACTGTCACAGCCTCTCAGCTGCTTACTAGGTAAACCTCAGGACACTCCGTACACTAACTCAGGGGTTGTCACTAGCCCAGGTGGGTACTTGAGAAGGCCCAAGGGGGTATGCACCGGCAGGCAGGGATGGAGCACAGCCACATACCATCCTGCACTACTGCTGCCTGCCCAGCTGGATGTGGGGGTGAGGGAAGCTCGCACGCGACGGCTGCCGCTCTGCGTTCAGCCATGCGACACCTCCCTCTCCTCCCCCTCTGCTCCGTGTCTGGCCACCGGGGGTACACTGCTCCATGTCTGGCCGCTGGGGATACGCTGATCCAAAAAGGTCGAAAACCCCTGCACTACCCCTTAGCTACTAAAGGAGATTACCTGTCTTGAGCAACAGCCCAAGCATGTCCACTGCATTGTGTTTGGTCACTGTTTCCCAGTCCTCCCAGGCACTGCTGTCAAAGGGGAGGCTTCTTTGCAATACAAGGATCCCATTTCCTGCACCAACTCTGTACCTCTTACCGCAGGAAGAGGAAAGAGAGGCTTGCGTCTGTCAGGGATGGTGAGAGTTTGCTAGGCAACAAGGGCAGTATATGTTGAGGGAAGCTAAGACCTATATTTTCTCTTCCCATGTGTGTGCTGGGTGCCCACCCTTCAAAGGGGCCTCAGTTGTTTCCTTGTCCACCATGCAGATCTAGGGAAGCCTTACCTCTCTGGGAGTGGTAACCCCTCTTCCTGCCTCCCCTGGTAGCTGGGACCAGGAAGCCCTGCTGCTCTGAGGTCTGTGAAACTGCTCTTCCTGGCCCCGGTGTGGAAGCTAGCATGTGGGCAGCCTTTTCACCATGATGGGTTCACACCTCTCTCCCTGCTTCTTCATGTGAGCTGACCTCTGTTTCACATGCAGAGCTCTAAGCAATAATAAAGGGATTCCATCTGGGCTGTAAGAACGGGGATCTTCATTTGAAGTGCCATGTGCTCTGAGATGCTGAGCCAGGAGGCGCAGTGTGTGCACCAAACTATTATACATGGAGCTTCCTGGTGTCAACCTCCAAATCATCCCCCCTACAACACTTGCTCCAACCTGCAGGGAACTTTTCCTTGTAATAAACAAAAGAAAAAAACTAAATACAACAATTTAAAAAAAAAAAGAAAGAAAAGAGTGGAAAAAAAGAAATGTGTATGGTTTGGTATGTGTTAGTCTTTAACTGTTTGAGGCCAGAGGTTTCTAGCATGTGGCCCACTCTGGGGGCATAGCCTTCACCACCAGTCCAATATGTGGCCTTCTGATCTCATAGTCATTCAGGTGTAATGGTAGTCAAACCACCTCCCATTCGTTGTTTGGTATACTGCTCTAGGGCCAGGATCTGGTTCCCTTCTGTTATGGCCTTCCTATCAGTGATTGTCTTCCTGGTGGCCACAGGACAACCACCTTTTCAAAATGGAAAGGTGGTACACATGCCTGTCTCTCCCTCCCACCCCCGCACTCCCCCAGTGGCATGGCCAGAACTGAGTGGAGCAGGGGTGGATGCAGGCTGCCCACTGTGGGTTCAGGGCTCTCCACCCTGCTGCCTTTCATCCAGGATCCCTGTGTGGTGGGCCAGTAGGGGGTGCTCCTGCAGTGAGCCACTCACCTCACTGCACCTGGCCACCTTCCAGGCTCTGAGTGCCTCCCTGGGGGCACCTCACATCTGGCTGACCCCCTTCCTGGAGCACACCTGCTAGCCTGGGGGGCAGGAATTACTGCTCTGATACCTTTAAACAAGATTCTATTTTGTGTGCCGCCACCACCCAGGGTCTGGACTGTTCCTGGCCCTGTGCTCCCTGGGAAACACGGGCCTAGTAGTCCTCAAGAGTGCTTGACTCACCGTAAGAACTTGGGGTGAAGCACAAATAGTGGTCTCCCTTAGTCAGCTGAACCAAGGGGACCCCAAGGCATAATTTAGCCCCTCTCCCAATATGTCTCCCACGCTGGGTACAAAGGAGAATTTTATTGGTTACAAGTTTAGGTTTGGAATAGGGTACAGGGTAGAGCAATATCAGAGAAATCCCATAGAGCAAACAGGGTGGCTGTGTAGCCTTTGATCATGCATCTGAGTTACTGCAAGCTATATATCTAGTTAGATCTCAGGTAGCTTACTCATGAATATCATCCAGAGGCAGGTGGAGATTCCCTCTGGAGGCAGGTAGTTCATTGACCATGAGTTTCAAGAGAGAGAGAAAGTTTCAGATGGTCCAGCTTCTCTCTCTGAGTTTTCATCATGGCTACTGCTCCTCCTCCTGGGCAGTCCTTAACTTATATAGGCCTTATAACCTCATTTACCTGGTCCAATGGAGGCCAGCAACTGTTGGCTGCCAGCCAACCAATTTGAAATGCATCACTGGTTGCCAGGTAGACTGGCATTGCTCAGAACAATAGGAAGACCAAGCCCCTCACCCAGATATGTGATGCCAGTCACGTAGACAGAGGGAGCAGATTACCCCCCTCCCTCAGAAATGTATCCAGCTCAGGTTACAACTCAGGCTCACATGAAGAGATGGGGCAGAGGAGGGACCATGGTAACCAAAGTGTCAGGTAACAGAGTTTTGGAGAGAGACAGGGATGGTATTCTGCCACAACCTGTGCTTGCCGCACGCCCCCTGTCTGCCCCGCAGCAGCAGGGGACACAATTTCACACCGCCGTCACCCCCACTGCTGCCTGGTGGTCAGGGAGCACCTCACCATGGTGGCACAGCCAGCATGGAGCTCCCATGGGGAGGCCAGCAGGGCGGGGAGCCCCAAGGCAGCAATGGGCAGCCCACATCCATGCCTGCCTCGTGCACAAATCTGGGAGTCACGTGTCCCACATATTGCCCCAGGAATGTACACAGTAGCAGGGAGCCACCTCTCCTGCCCCCTGGATGAGCCACTTGTGGCTCCATCCTGCTCCCTGCCCCAGCCCCAGACCCCATGCACTGCCCCAGCTGGGCAATACCCCAGCTTCTGCCCCATTCCCTCCCTCATCATAAGGGCCTCAATCTGCCCCCTCTTCCTCACCATGCCCCCTCCCCCCAGTAGACTTACCTGCAGGGAGCTGCTCTCCACGCTGCCCAGCTGTATTCCAGACCACATGCTTGTGTAAGGGCATGCACATGCATGTGGCATCCCCTGCATCCTGCTCCCAGCAGCCCCAAGCAACCCCTTCCAGGCTGGAATGCTGTCAGCCTGCAAGGGGAAACCTGCCATTTCCTGATCCCTGCATAACACTGTGAATCTGGGACAAATGCTGTCCCAGTCACGCAGCCCAGGACCAAGACTTGATGTTCCCATTCCAGAACTGTCCCATTCAATTAGGGGCAAGTGGTCACCCTAGGTAGCCGCTCATATTCCTTGCTACATCTGACCTCTGGCCAACTGATGGTTGGAGCCCAATCAAAGTCATCTGGGAGCTGATGTCTTCTCTCTCTGATGTCTTCTGTCTCTGTTCCCTGATATTGCTGCTCTGCAAGTGTCTATGATTTATTCTCAACCACTGAACCTCAGTGCTAACTATTTCATAGGATCTTGACTCAACAAAAGCTTGAACAGCAGCCTGTTGTCATTGTTTTTTGTGGCGGCTGGATGGCTAAACCCACACTGTCTCCCCTACATGGAGAGGCTTCATGTTTCTAGCTCCTCTATTGTAATATGTTGCCTGTCTCTCTTAAACTTTTCTGAGCATCCTCTGTATATTGTCTGCTTTCTCTCCGTCAAATTGCAGTAGACTGCCTCTTACAGGAACTAGTTTCCTAGTTCTTTGCCCCTCCTGAGAGGGGGCATTTTAAGTCAAGTAAGGATTGTATCTAGCCTTTTTTGCCCTTTCCATGGGTCTTTTGGCTGCCTTGACAGTTGATTCTGCCTTTCCATTGCTCTGGGGGTATACAGGGGAAGAAGTTTTGTGCTTGAATTTCCATTTTGTGCTAAAATCTTTTGAATTTCTCTGCTGTATATTGTGGCCGATTTTCTGCATATAAAGTACTAGGTATGCCATACATGGTAAAGTGTGCCTTTACCTTCCTGATTACTGTTCTTGTTTGAGTGTCCTCTAAGTAGTCCACCTCCCAAAAACTGGAGTACTAATCTACTGTGACCATATCACTTCTATCATTGAACAAACAGGTCTGTCCCAACCTTTTCCTGAGGTCATATTGGGATCTCATGCAGCTGCAGCATCTCCTTCTGTTGCCTGTCTCCATGCTCTTTACTTACCTCACACTGCTCCATTTTTGTCCTTATCTGGGAATTCATGCCTGGCCAGAAGACATGCTACTGAGCTAACTACAAGCATGCCTCTGTTCCCAGGTGTGAAGCATGTATTCCTTTCATGATTTCATTCCTGTCTCAGATTGGCAGGGATTACTGCTCTGATACCTTTAAACAAGATTCTATTTTGTGTGCATA